GTGCTGTGTGACCCTTGGAGCTAAGGAGGTCCGTCCTTGAGTGTCTTGTCCCACAGAGGAGGGAAATAGAAAGTGGATTTCATTGGCCTCATTTAAACAACATAAAGAATGAGAAATGAAAAATCTCAGTCATGCTCCTCTAGTACAGTTAGCTCAGTTTTCATGCTCACCTAAATAAGTTTTAGGATAAGCATAGAAACAGTGTTATTAATACAGCATTAGGGAGAATACTATGATTATTATAAGCACAATAATTCCCACTGCCTGGAGAGCATATCCAACCTGTAGACCCCAAGTCCCAAAGCTAATCAGAATCAAAGTAAAAGAAAGATTGAAAGAGCCACTTCTTAAGCCAGTCTGCTAGTTAAGTAAATTTATATAGCTGAGATTTAATTTTCCCAGAAGTGTCAGTCTAAGTACAAAAAAAAAAAATGGTGTTGGTGATCGGACAAATACCTCCTTGTTCTGCTAGAAAATAATCAAGGGTTATCCTACTGTCAGGAATAACTTTGATCAGAGAGTCTATGGATTTTTGGTTGGGCAGCTATTGCTTCAGCAGCGATTCTACATTATCTTCAGGAGTTAAGGAGAAGTTCCTGATCATAGCCTCATTTTCACTTACTCCTAACCAGGGAATGAATTTGCCAAAGGAAATTAATTTTGAACCATGAATGCCTCCTAGTAATTCCTGTTGGAATGTGGCTCAGAACTGGAAAGGTGACAGCCCTAGAGGTAGACCCTGCAAGTGTTTCTGTTGCGGTTATCCTTGCCTTAGGTCCCTTTTTTGTGCAGACCTTGGGTAAAGGTTCCCTGAATTTGAGATTATTAATCAGGCAGGGAAATAGAGAGGCTAACAATAGAGAAGTACAGAGTTTGTTCCAGAGAAACAGAAGCATTGGAAATCAGAAAAGTTTGTGATGGGTGGACCTACAGAATCCCCATCATCAGATCAAATCTAGCAGTTTGAAGGTGGGATTGCTCCCTTTGGCAGTGGCCTGAGATGCTTAAACAATGACAATTTCTTTTCAGGCCAGTTCAAGGCAAAAGGTGGACAAGAGAATCATAAAAGTTCTTCATGGTATAAGAATTAGGAGAAGGATGGTTAGAGAAGAAAAAAAGGAATGGAGAGGATCTTTGTTGGTCTTCTTGATCCCACATCTTGGGAGGAAGCAGTCTGTGTCAATGTCATGTCTACTTCTTTTCCTAGTTAATTTGACTTCGAAGTCTCCAGCATCTGTAAAGGACCAGATCTCACGTTGAGCCTTTTTTAGTTGTGAGATGGGTACCTAACATCCTGGTAGTTGGCCGTAGTGTTAGTGGTCAGGAATATTTGATAGGGTTCTTTCCATGAATCTCATTCTTGCAGACACTTGAGTAAAATTAATAGCAGTCTATAAATGACAAAAACTTTAAAATGCTCATGATTAAAGATATGATGAGAGCTCGTTATAATGGAATTGGCAAATAAATTTGGTTATCTTTGAGATACATAACATTTTAAGTAATAATTGGAATTTTTACTATCAACAGGACATAGCAGATTTTTAGGAATTTTATGCAATTTCTAGGACACTTATATTAATAACATTTGTCAGTATAAATATAATCGATTATTTTTATTTGACAATGCTTCCCATGTAGTATTGCATATTGAATAAAACTAATTGGTTTAACAGCTTCTAAGTGGACTCCAACAGCCAAGGACTGCTTTAGAGTTTGAGTGTTCATACTCACTGTAGGAATTCAGGGTGTCCTTTAATTCTTTTGGTCTTCTGTTTGCACATATTGGTCATCCAGGGCACACATATCAGGGGGACAGTAACTTGATACCCTTAGAGTTACGTGACAAAGTAAAAATATTTTGAAGCCAATATACAACAGCTTACATTTCAGTGATTTTTTCCTATCTCATATATATATATATGCATGATAATTATAGAAAATACAGATTTTTAGGGCCTCCCCGGTGGCGCAGCGGTTGAGCGCTGGGTTGCGAAGCTGCCTGCAGCCTCTGCAGTGCCGGTTCGATCCCCGGCTGCTCCCCGGCCACAGGAGGAGGGTCCCACATGGCACGCAGACCTCTTCTGCCACCCGCTGCTCTCCTCAGCAGTGTACTCGGTCCTTCTGCCTGCTCTGCTCCCCGCTCTGGCTCTAGTGAATTCTCTCACCCTCCCGCGCTTCTGACTGTACTCAGTGCTTGTATAAATATAAATAAATAAACAAATAAATAAAAAATATTTAAAAAAAAAAAAAAAGAAAATACAGATTTTTAAAGGCAAGAAATTATAAATTCCTTATTATCCCACTACTAAGAAATATTTACAGTTAACATTTTTAAGACCTAAATGTCCAAACACTTAAATGTGATATGTATATTTTTTAAAATAAAAATCAATGGCACTGCTTTTTAAAACTAAAATTGTAGTCATCTTTATTTTGATGATACAGGTTACATAATAGTTGAATTGTATGCATGTGTCATTCACTGTATTATTCAGTCCCTTATTAGACATTTAGATTATTGTTCATTTCACTGTCATAATCAATGTTGTGACCGTCTTATAAATACAAATATTTATAGTCATCTTTGGTTTTTTCCCTGGGAAGTAGAAGTGTTAGACAGAAGTATAGATATAATTTTGAAGCCTTTGGTACTTGTGCAAAATCATCATCCAGAAAGACATTATAGTTTACCTATGATATGTTTATTGAATTCTTGGTTTTGTTTTTAATATAAGCAGGAAAAAAAAAATACCTGCTTATGCCAGAGGCAGATTACAATGCAAATCCAATGATGTGCATATAGCAATGATTAACAAGGGATCTCAAGTCTGCAACATAATTGTCTCTGAAAATATCAAAACATTTGAACCAGCCATAATTTTTCCCTCAACTTTGCAGAGATGTAATTGACAAATAAACCTGTAATATAGTTAATGTGTACAATCTGATGATTTTATCTATGTATACATTATGAAATGACCTTTACAATCAAATTAACACATGTTCACCTCGCACCTTTTTTTGTTTTTTGATGAGAGTACTTAACATTTACTTCCTTAGCAGATTTAAGTGTACAATATAGTATAATTAACTGTAGTCACCGCACTAGAGCCCTAGAGCTTACTCATCTTGTAACTGAAAATTTGTTTCCTTTAACTAACCTCTCTCTATCTCCCCACCCCCAAGCCTCTGGTAACCACCATTCTACTCTTTCTCTGTGAGTTGGACTTTTTTTCTGTATTTCACTTGTAAGTGGTATCTTACAGTATTTGCCATTCTGTGTCTGACTTATTTTACTTAGTGTAATGGTAAGGTTCATCCATGCTATCACACATAAAGGATATTTTTTCTTTTTAATGGCTGAATAACATTCCATTATATATCAAATTGTCTGTATCCATTTATCCATGATGGACATTTAGATTGTTTTTATATCTTAACTACTAAGAATAATCCTTCAGTGAGCATGGGAGTGCAGATACTTCTTCCAAGACAGTGTTTTGTTTCCTTTGGATATATACGCCGGAATGAGATGTGAAATCATATGGTATGAACTATTGATTGAAAAACATAGGAGCTTTTTTAACAAAGAGGAGCCATTTTGAAGACTAGGCGGTTACAGGCATAAATAGTCTAATGATTCTCAGGCTTCTGTATATATTGGAATCATACTGCTGAGCATGCAGATTTGTGGAGCTATGTGGAGATCATGCTAAGAAACATCAAGTTGGGCCTCCCCTGGTGGCGCAGGCAAGTTGAGCCCAGCGCAGCCTCTGCAGCGCCGGTTCTATCCTGTCCAACCAGCGAGGGTCCCACATGGCACCATAGACGTGTATTTCGTCACTCTGCCTGTTCTGTTCTCTGCTCTGTCTCTGGTGAATCATCTCACCCTCCTGCGCATCTGGCGTGTACCCCGGTTCTTGTATAAAATAAATAAATAGATCTTTAAAAAAAAAAAAAAAAAGGGCCTCCCCGGTGGCGCAGCGGTTGAGCCCTGGGTTGCGAAGCTGCCCGAAGCCTCCGTGGCGCCGGTTTGATCCCCAGCTGCTCCCCGGCCACGGGAGGAGGGTCCCACATGGTGTGCAGACCTCTCCTGCCGCCTGCTGCTCCCCTCAGCAGTGTACTTAGGTCCTTCTGCCTGCTCTGCTCTGGCTCTGGTGAATTCTCTCACCCTCCCGCGCTTCTGACTGTACCCAGTGCTTGTATAAATAAATAAATAAATCTTTAAAAAAAAGAAAAAGAAAAGAAAAGAAACACAAGTTAATTGTAGTTTTTCAAACCCGAAAGACTAAATATATAATCCCATACCTGGCAGCTAGCCTGTTTTGTAGAACAAATGCTGTTTCTGAGACTAAGATAGAGTTATTATTTAGGTCAGTGTTAAATAGCACCTACAATAACAATACTCATTTTTCATTTTAAGTAAAATATGGGTTGTAGTGTAGATAATTTAAATTTCTTAATCTGCTTCCTCCCATTTTTTTATATAGTTAATTTATATTGTTTTAATTATGCTCTTTATTAGCTAGTCATATGCTTTATTCTGGTATTTTCTGTGTCTGAGATGATCGGCTTATGGCTATATACCATAATCCCAAACACAATTATCAATCTGGTGAAAGTTCCACAATTACAGGGATAATGCTATGGGACCTAACCTAAAAACCCAGATGAATTAATTATAGCAAACAGCACACATTCTTCCTGTGTGTGGTTTATTTCAGGAATTTGTCCAGATGGTATAATCATTCAGTTTCTTAAGACCAGAAATTGGTCTAGCTAAATTCTAGTGTTTCCTACCAGCTCATATTTCATGTTTGTTATTGTTGGGCTTTAGTTCAAAACCACATGTAGAAGTTGACCATTCCTGAGATAGAATATTGCTGCTTAAGACATGATTTTTTGGTTGTCTGACTATTAACTTTCATCAGTCTCTTTCCCATTTCTGTATAACTATAGCCTATCAGAGTTACTTATAGTATATTTTTAATATCTAGGAGGAAGTGGTGAAGTTGACTGAGAAATGCCTTAATAATGTCATTGAGAGCCCAGGATTGAATGCCAGAAGAGTTCCTCCTGACTTGAAGAGTAACATTTTGAAGGCTCAAGTAGAAGCAGTGCATAAGGTAAGCTGCATTTAATAGAGATAGTCCTGGTGAAGTGAAAAAACATGAGACTTGAGAGAGACCCAGAAGAACAAATAAAATACATAGATGTTAAACAGGAGTGACCTAGCTAGGAATTAGAGCTAGCGAGTAGTACTGAGAAGCATGCTCAAGATGGCAGAATGTCTTCCAAACTCCAAATTTTAATTAAGAGGGGGCTAGTCATGGCATAAGAAAGTAAGATTGAAGATGTTGTAGGTTATAAGAAGTTTTTAAAAAGTCAAATTCCTATTAAAACGAGTTCCTAAACTTTATCATTTCCAGAAAATGTAGTGATGTCAGTATTAAGACTGATTTTTGGGTCTTATCCATTCATTAGTGATTAGAGATTAGAAATAAAAATGGTAAAACAAATGGCATAATACTCATTTGAAAAAATTGATGGAAAGGAGAAAACAGCAAATAATTTGTTTAAATAATGTAAAAGCCCATATCAGCTGCCAGTGTGGCAAAAGCAAATGATAGATAACAAGGCGAAGAGTTAACTGTGACCTTGTGAAGGATGCAATGGGTAGGGACCTGAAGATTATGATGCTGTGCTTTCAAAATCACATTTTCTTTTGCTCTCCCTAATTTCCAGACTTATCTTCCATACCAAAACCAGGACTTCACCAGGTCATATTGTCAACTGAGAATCCAAAATAATCATGTTGTTGAAAAGATACATTTTACTCATCCTGTTCCCAGGCACTAGCCTTGAAGAGAACTGAGGGCTTTAGAAATATTGTTCATATTTTTTATTCACCCTCTCTCTCACACCAATATAAACGCAAAACAGTGTTTGAATATAAAAATAAATATAAAATATGGCACTATTGATTCCAGAATTAGACATCTTTAGTCAAATTCCATTTCTGATTTGCCCCCTATTAGCTTCATGACTTGAAAAGTTAATTTCTTTGAGGCTTAGTTTCATTATGTTTAAAATAGGATAATGGTTGGGTTATAAGGATGAAGGTTATTATTTACATTAATAAACGTAAAGGACTTGGAATAGCACCTAGCACGTAATGAACATAAGTGTTGATCCTGATGTTGAAACTCCATGTTACAGTAGCAGTAGTAGTAATATTTATTGTCATCTTACAGTTACGGTTTTGGAAATTTCTGAACTTGAAGGAGAGAGAAAAATCTGAATAGCCCTGAAGATATTTTGCTTTATAGTTTAAAAATCTCCCCTAGATGAAAAATCTAGGGCTGTTGAAACTTACGGAAATTAGAAGCAGTTCTACACTCTCAGACAACAGACAAGGAAGAAGCACTTCCCAACTCATTTTGTGAGACTAGTATCACCACCATACCAACACCAAACAAAAATATTACAAGAAAAGAAACTACAGACCTTCTCGAACATACTCAGAATTCCTTAACAAAATATAAGCAAATCATACTCACCAGTTTGGTAAGAATATAAAATGCTGTAAGCTCTTTAGAACATGTGACCTAGCAGTTTCACTTTTAGATCTTCATCCAGGAGAAATTAAAACTTTTGTTTATACAGATAGTAGTATGTGAGCAGCTCTCTTTGTAATAGCTAAAATAGCTAAAACAACCCAAATATCAGTAGATAACAGATAAAGAAATGGTGGTATATCCAAAAGTAGAATACTATTCAGCACATAAAAAGGAATGTATTCGTAATACATGCAACATCATGAGTAAATCTCAGAAACATCGTGCTACTCTAAAGAGCCAAACTCAGAACAAGAACACAGGTATTCTGATTCCATCCACATGAGACTATGGAACGTACAGATCACTGTTTGCCATGTGTAAGGGTTTCTGATGGGACTACACTGAAAACTGGAGGGGACATTTTGGGGAGATAGTGAAAATGTTACATATGTAGATTGTAGTGATGCTGTATATATTTTTTTTAAATGTATCAAACTATACATTAAAAATGTGTGTAATTTAGTCTGTGTAAAGTGAACTGACATTTTGAGAAATTTTTTTACAAATCTCTCCTAAGGTATTCCCTACCTTTTTATCATGTAAATTTGGAATTTTCTGGCATTGACTTTTTCTGGTGCCTTAATAATTGAGAGCTGTTTAGTAAAGCTTGTGAATTTGTATTCAAATATATTGAAGTAAAAGCAAGGCCTGTTATCTTGGGTATGGGATTAGGACTGCTTTTGGTGAAGTACTGATATTTTTATGGATAAGGTATGATTACTTCTTTTTTGAACTGAAGCAAATTGGTATTTCTGTTGTTAATTGAAAGAAATGTAAATTTCTTGTTATTTTGTTATCCTCAACAAAGAGTTGATTTTTTTTAAATGTGATTTTCTTAGGATACAAGAGAAGACAGCTTATTAAGTCATAAAAATGCCAATATTCAGGATGCTGCCATAAACAGGTACATTCTAGGGAGATGGCATAAAGTTGGTATTTGTTCAAGTTTTTTTCTTTTTTCTTTTTCCTCTTCCCTAATCTCTTATCACTTGTTTTAAGGATATCATTTGAAAATAGTTTGAATTCCCTCTTTTCTATCTATTACATAACTGCCTAGTGCCTAGTGTTCAGTTATTTGAAGATATTGCTATCAGTGTGTTTATATTCTTTATTCTTCTTCAATTGACTCAAACTGCAAAGGAAAAACAACTTTTAAAGATACCTTATAAGATACCTGGTAAGGAATATGTATTATTTCTCTTAGATATGGTAGCTCACTTTAATGCCATCCGGTCATCACTGGCCTTGTTCTTATAAACCTACTTACTGTGGATTCTCAGCATTATTTGAGCAAATTTTTTTGTTGCTCCTCTAGGTTCCTTCTGCTTCTCTTTTCTTTAATGACTATTACACCATTTATTTCTCTTGCAAAACTTTATCCCCTGCTCTGTGCCATTCACCATGGTGTATAATATTCTTCACTTGGTGCTAAAACTTATTGAATGAATGTTTCTTTTCTCATCATTCAATCCCCAAGAATTGAAACACATCCTTTAAAATATGCTGAATTCTGGTATAAATTTGAATCTACTTTTAGATGTTTTCCTTTTCTGTTAATCTGTTGTTTTTCCCCGTGCTATGTAAAAAAGAACTATTACAAGCACTAGGAAAACTATGTAAATCATATAACATATATTTGTGTACCAGGTAAATCAGTCTTCATCTTCATTTTGCTATAGTAGATTTAGATCATTTTTTTATTTAGTTGTAATTCCCATACCATGAAATTTATCTTTTAAAAGTATGTAATTCAGTGATTTTTGATACATTGACAAAATTGTGTAACCATTACCACTAACTAAATCCATAATATTATCATCAACTCTAAAGGAAACACCAGTCTATTTGTGGTCACTCCACATTCCTCGCTTCCTCCTAGTTACTCCATATTCATATTCCTAGCAACCACTAGTCCATTATCTGCCTTTTAAAAATTTATTTGAAAAAATTATTTTTTGTTTTTATGTTTTACAACATTCTTCCTTTTTGTACAATGCATGCTTTCTCTGCTCAGGTGTAATCCCTGTAAAATTCCCACCACCAATTCACCCCTGCACCATCACCATAATCCCTTGTGTAAGAACACATTCCCTCCCCTATTTTGATCCCTCTCCCTCCTTCTCCCCTGCAGAGTATCTCTGATTTATAGTTGCTTGTTAATTTTGTTATTTAATTTATTATAATTATTTTATTAAATTTTTTGAAGTGTTCCATTTATATAAAGTGTAAGTATTGTTATAAACACAGTGTACTTAGGGCCTCCCCGGTGTTCGATCCCCAGCTGCTCCCCGGCCACTGGAGGAGGGTCCCACATGGCGCGCAGACCTCTGCTGCCGCCCGCTGCTCCCCTCAGCAGTGTGCTTCGGTCCTTCTGCCTGCTCTGCTCCCCGCTCTGGCTCTGGTGAATTCTCTCACCCTCCCGCGCTTCTGACTGTACTCAGTGCTTGTATAAATAAATAAATAAAAATCTTTTAAAAAATAAATAAATAAACAAACAGTGTACTCAGTCAAGCTAATACTGGTTAATGCATTGGTGGCTTTTGAATTAAATTTTAGAGGACTATAAGAATTAAAAAAATATGTGAACAGGGCCTCCCCGGTGGCGCAGCGGTTGAGCGCTGGGTTGCGAAGCTGCCCGCAGCCTCTGCAGCGCTGGTTCAATCCCTGGCTGCTCCCCGGCCACCGGAGGAGGGTCCCACATGGCACGCAGACCTCTCCTGCCGCCCGCTCCTCCCCTCAGCAGTGTACTTCGGTCCTTCTGCCTGCTCTGCTCCCTGCTGTGGCTCTGGTGAATTCTCTCACCCTCCCCCACTTCTGACTGTACCCAGTGCTTGCATAAATAAATAAATAAATAAATCTTTAAAAAAAAAAAAAAATATGTGAACAGGTATATTTTATTACTTAAATTAGACTTGAATTCCTGTAAGATCATTTATCTTATTAAATATTGATAGGGAGTTATCCTTATCAGAATATTACATGCACATAGTTTTAAAAGTCAAATAGAACAAGAGGACTGACAACATAAAAAGTTTCCTGCCCACACATCCTCACTTATCCATCCCCTCTTTTCAAGTAAACCAATTTAGATCCTATTTGCTATTTACTTAATTCCATGGTTCTAAATTGTAAGTGTGTAATGGGGTGCTTTTGACATAAAGACTTAACTCTTACATCTCTGTTCCCACTATTCTTTCCCATATTATTAATTTTTAAAAAAAAATTTCCTTTATTTTCTTTCATCCTATCTTCTGCCTCTTTTGAATTTATATACTCTGGACGGTTCATAAAAATGAAGTTATATAATATGTGACCTTTTGTGTATCTGCTAGGATTTCCTAAAAGTTTCTGAACTGGCACTCTTTGTTGATTTTGAAGTCATATGAATTTATTTTGTAAAAGATAAATCTTTTCTGTCATTTCACTGAGATTTAGGATATAGGGAAAGTCTGCCATTCTAACCATCTGTGAGTGTGTGTGACCTGGATGTGAAAACTATCTGGGGGTGAGGCAGGGTTTCACAAAGGTATGAATGCAACACTGACTTCTATCATGCACCTTACAAGTTGTAATTTCTCTTTTCCACCATGAATCTATGCCTGTATATGTCCTCCATGATGTGAACTTACCGTTTTCTTTCAGTGCTACAGCAAATGAGAATAATGTGCCACTTCCTGAAGATTGTCTTGATCTGATGCATGCACCTGTGGGAAATGGTTCAGTTCTAAAGGTAAGAACACATTCTCTCTTAAAGTTTTCTTCAAAGATCATTCCGAGTTGAATCCTGTAATATCATGAAGGATATATATGATTGACACCAGAACTTAAGCATTGAGAAAAACATTGAGGCTCAATTTTACAGGGCGATTCCTATGCTCACACCCCTTACAAGAGCATCCCAGGGTTTCTTCCCCAGTTTTTGTGTTGTTTGAATTTTTGTCTTTTGGGTGGCCTTTGTTTTTTAGATCATGACTATGCTTCCCCGGTGTCTCATACAGTGTATGGCATGTAGTAGGTACTAAATAAATGTTATTTGAAATAAACTTTCTGAAATCACAGCATATTATCATTGAAATTGTGTTGCAGTACAACACAGCTGCAATATAACCAGTTTATCCCAACTCCTGCCTTTCCTGTAACCATTTGCCACATCCTTACCAGTTCAGAAATAGTAGAAACCTACCATTGCCCAGTAAATGTTTTATTTATTTATTTATTTTGATGTTCTCAAATCTTTTAATCAGTAGCCGTATTCGGATTATATCAGCACCAAGGTTAGTTCCTCCTAAGCGTGTAAACTGCTTTTTTTTTTTTTTTTTTTTTTTGGAAGTAAAATAGAAATTCTCTTATTTAATGCCTTTTTTTTTTTAATAATAAATTTTATTTTTATATTCCCCATACAATTTCAACCCCCCATTCTGACCCCAGTCCCTCCCCTCCCGCCCCTCCACCCCCCAAAAAGTGTCTCTGGTTCATAGTTTTTTGTTGATTTTGATTTTCACTTTCTTATAGTTATTCATTTTCCTGGTCCCTTATTTAAGTTATCTAGATTCCTGCTATGAGTGAGACCATCCGGTATTTTTCTTTTTCTTTCTGGCTTATTTCGCTGAGCATGATCCCTTCCAGCGCCATCCATGTTGCTGCAAATTGCATGTGTTTATCTTTTTTGAATGCTGAGTAATATTCCATGGTATATATGTACCACATCTTCTTGATCCAGTCATCTATTTTTGGGCATTTGGGCTGTTTCCAAAGCTTAGCTATTGTAAATAGTGCTGCTATAAACATAGGGGTGCAGGTGTTCTTTGGAATTGATGTTTCTGTGTCCTTTGGGTAAATACCTAGGAGTGGAATTGCTGGATCATATGGAAGCTCTATGTTTAGTAGGTCCAGAAATCTCCACACAGCTCTCCATAGTGGTTGGACCAGTTTGCACTCCCACCAGCAGTGCAGGAGAGTTCCTTTTTCTCCACACCCTCGCCAACATTTGTTGTTGCTAGTTTTTTTAATATGTGCCATTCTCACTGTTGTAAGATGGTATCTCATGGTAGTTTTGATTTTGCATTTCCCTGATTACAAGTGATGTTGAACACTTTTTCATATGCCTGTTGGCCATTTGCATTTCTTCTTCAGAGAAGTTTCTTTTTAGCTCTTCTGCCCATTTTTTGACTGGATTATTTTCTTTGTTGTTGTTGAGTCTCATCAGCTCTGCGCAGATCTTTGTGATCAGTCCTTTATCATTGGTGTTGTCAGTAAATGTTTTAATTTGCAAGTTTAGTGAAATTTATCCTTGCAAATTAACATTAGCCATTTTGCTTTTTTATTGCAACAGCACATCTGTTGTAGAAATTTGCCAGTATTTCATTAAAGAAATCAAATCACCTATATTTCCATTACTCAAAGATAGTGTGTAATTAATATTTAGGTGTATAATTTTTTAGACTTCTATGTTTTTTAAAAAATCCAATTAAAATTCCTTCAATCAGGGTCCTCCTCCTTTCATCAAATTAAAACTCAAAGAAAGGATACACACAGACACACACACACACACACACACACGATACATATATTTTGACATCTTTGCCCATGATCTGAGATGTTTTTGAAACAGAGGACCTTTAATTCAAGTATTTGTTCCATATGTAATATGTACCAGACAGATTGTTAGACTTTGAAAATGCAAATATATGCATGAATTTATCATGGATTCTTCTTTCAAGTTCCTTATAGTTCAGTGGGAGAGAGAATTGTAATGCATTGTTGTAGGATGTATGCACAAGCTATTTTGGGGAACTCATCCAGGTCATAGGGTAGGAGCAGATGAAATTGAAGGAGGGCGATACATGGAAAGAGAGAACATTTTCTTAACATGTGTGATTAAAATGAAGTTGAATATTGAAACATGAGCAGGAGATTCACTGTGTCCTAAAGGCAGGTAGATGGAAATGGAAACATATAAATGAGGTGCATTTTTTGGTTCTGTTCTATACGACTATATTTATTTTTTCCAGGTTGAAATATTATCTTTTTAAATTCTGACTACCCTCTCAACACACACACACACACACACACACACACACAGCAGCAGTATAGATCTGTTCCCTGTAAAATAGATTCAAATGCTAATTAAATAAAAATGTTGATTAACATTTGTGGGTAGAAGTTCATTATTGTATTCTGCAGTGGAACACTCATACATCAGGATACAGAACAGTTAGAATTTCAGCATCTCCTGTGCTTCATCTTTTACCTCATGTAGTCTAGCAGCCAAGAGCCACAACAGTCTTAATATTACCAAAGTTTTGTTTCTCTAAAAGAAATTTACAAAACACTTTTTAAACTTCTAGTTATAGATTGTGTTCCTCTGCATATGAAAGTCAATCACTAATAACAAAATTCCAGAACATCCTGTTTGTGTAAAGGTTAACATCAGCCAGGCCTAGATCAGAATTATCAATGTTAGAATAACCTACTCTGATGAAATTTGTGCCATTTAACAACTATATATACTGTGTCTTCCCTAGGATGCTGCAGATGAATTGGACGCCTTGCTTTTATCCCTAACTGAGAATCTAATTGACCGCACAGTTACACCTCCGGTAAATATGCTTAAAATAGCAAGATGGAAACGAATTTCTATTTTGAAAAATGTCCTGCTAGCTTTCAGTTTTTGCCTCTAAACTATTTATTTATTTATTTGTTTGTTTGTTTGTTTGTTTATTTATTTATTTTTGTGGGACCCTCACTGGTGGCCAGGGATCGAACCGGCGCTGCAGAGGCTGCGGGCAGCCTCGCAACCCAGCGCTCAACTGCTGCGCCACCAGGGGAGGCCCTGCCTCTAAACAATTTAGTAAAACTTTTCATTTAACAAGAGTTTATAGCATTATCTTTCTGTACCAGAATTCTACCAGTTTGAATTTATGTGTCTCTGTATGTCAACCATATATTACTATAAATCTATTTGTAATTCAATGCCATAGTAAACAGCATGAGAGGAAGCATGTGGGGATAAACCATCTTCTAAAGAATTTAAGCAATAAGGTAATCTTTAATTTTTTTAAGAAAATTACAGAAAGGTGGGAGCATAAGAATGATTGACATTGAGCATATTGATCACTACAGCAGTATGGAATATACTGTGTTAAATATTGGGACCATAATATAAATAGGAAGCAGGGACATTATAATCTAGTTGGGACAAGCAGTATCCAAATAATTCATGTAGTGTGTTATGAGTAATCTAACAAGAATTGCTATAGAAACTACATGTCTGATAGCTTGGAAGTAGAGGTGGTACTCTTTATGGTAGTGGATGTTTGCTGAGGTCATTCGTTTTCAAATTTGGGGTGCATTAAAACAGATTGCTGATTTGGGGTGTGTGTGATGGACCCTGAGAAGTTGAATTTCTGAACTCTTTCAGGTAATGCAGATGTAGTCTGGGAAACACTCTTAGGGAACAGCTGCTTGGATCATGGTGCATGATTCTTTTAATGTTTTGTTGAAATTGGGTTGTGAAGATTTTATTGAGTATTTTTGCGTATGTGTTCATCATGGAAATTGGTCTGTAATATTTCTTTTTTAATGATGTCTTTGTCAGGTTTTGGTAGCAAAGTGATATTGGTCTCATAGAATATAGTTGGAAGCATTCCCTCTTCAATTTTTGGGAAGAGTTTGAGAAGGGCAGATATTAATTCATTTGAAGGTTTGGTAGAATTCACTGATGAAGCCGATCTGTTCTTGGACTTTTGCTTTTGGGAGACTTTTGATAACTTTCAGTTTCCTTGCTTGTAATTGTTTTGTTCATGTTTTCTGTTCCTTCTTGATCTAGTCTTAGAGAATTTGTGTTTTCTTCTAGATTTTCCAATTTTTTGGCATAAAGATGTTCCTAGTAGTCTTTTATGATCCACTGTATTTCTGTGATATCTGTTGTAACTTCTCTTTCATTTCTGTTACTTATTATTGGAGTTTTCTTTCTTTTTTCTTATTGAGCATACCTAGAGGGTTGTCTATTCTATCTTTTCATAGAACCAGCTCTTGGTTTCATTGATCTTTTGTACTGTCTGCTTAATTTCAGTTTCATTTGTTTCTCCTCTAATTTTTTTTAGTCCCTCCTTCTCCTGGAGTTAGTTTCATTTGTTCTCTGTTTTCTAGTTCCTTCGGGTATAAGATTAGATTATTTGACATCTTTCTTGTTTCTTGATATGAGCCTATATTACTGTATACGTCCCTCTTGGAACTGCTTTTGCTTCACCTCATCAGTTCTATTAGCTTGTTTGTGATTTTTGTTTGTCTTGAGGTACTTTTTAATTTTTCCTTTGATTTACTCATTAACCCAAAAGTCATTCAGTAATTTTCTGTTTAGTCTCCATATAGTTGAGATTTTTCTCGCTTTCTTTTTGTGGTTGATGCCATGAAGAAGAGAATATGATTATTTGCAATTAATTGAAATTTCAGAAAATAAGAGGTTAATTGTTACTAGGGGTGGGAGAAGTCCAACATAGTTGTAGCTTTCTTAGAGTAAGTAAAATTTTAGATTAAAGAGATTCTCAAGATCACTACACTTTCTTAAATGGTGTGATATGTGTATGTAGCATATGTGTTTTAAAAAGAATCTTGGACTCAAAAGTCCATGGAAGCAAAAAGGGAACAAGTGCCTCTTATACACACAATGCATTTCATATCAAACGAAAACTTTGAGTATAATTATGAAAATAAGTCAGTCTTCTCTAAAAATAAATATATCGATTTATTTTAGGTACCTTCAGCATCCATGATTACACCCCGGTGGATTGTACCAGTAAGTTCATGATATTTGCATTTTTTTCTGTTGTGTACCATTTCTGAGTGAAGCCTAAAGGAAGGCTCTTGTTTTTCCTTAGATATGTGGAGTCACTATCAGAGTTTCATTAACTGAGCTTTATGGCTTCAAGCTAGTGATTTAACCTTTCTCTGTGTATATGCTTAAGGATGATAACAAAAAAAAAAAAATCTTAGGTAAAGAATGGTGAAAAGTAGATCAAAACAGCCAAGATTATCAAAATTAGTCTTCTGCACTACCATGATAACCAAAGAATGATTTGTAGCTGAAGTGCTGACTGTTGGACAGGTATTGGCACTTTTACTCAGACACGTTGGGTATGTTTTTCTCAGCAGAGCAGTGTCCTCTCTAAGGAACTTGCAGGAAATGGATCATCCTTGATGGGGAAGGAAGGACATGGTAACAGAGAAGTAATCTCGCTCATCTCTCCCCCAGCACCATTCTTGGTGGATGCGGTGACCAGGTTAGGAAATTTTTTCTCAATTGTAGTTCTTAGGCATCCATTAGGAGGGAAAATATAATAAAATTCATTATGTTTAAAACGATAATGTCAGTTCTTTAATTGAACTTAATTGAAACTTGGATAAATCTTTCCTCTGTTGTTAGAATAGTGTTTGTTTTATTTAGCAGTTTTTTACAAAATTATGAGGTAGACCTTACAGGTTTTTTTAATAAGGTTTTCATTAGATAACAATGTTCACAGTCTTTAAAAATTTTATCTTTATTTAAATTGATTTGTGTCTTTTCATTTCATGCTTTACTCTTACTATGTTATCCATCAATATAGGTGAAGAGGTGCAAATAAGGGTGTGGGAGATTTTCAAAGTGAAGGCTTGGGACATAACAACTAAGAAAGCTTTTAAAGAAACCGTTAAATTTCAAAGTAATACTTGCAACAAACAAGCAAACTCAAAAAACCTTTTCTTCAGCAAGTAGCTCTTTAACTTTTTTTTAGGACCCAAACTGTGTATTTTGCAAAAGGTTTGTCATTGCCTTCATTCTCACTTCAGACTTTTTCCTGATTATGTCTGCTATTTCTTATATCCTCCCCCTCATAATTAGTAGAAAAATTATAGATGATTAACTTCAGAGAAATTTGTAGCTGAATTTAAAAATTTTTTTTATCTTCATAGTTTTTAAAGTAATATATTATGATATCAAAAACATTTACTGAATATCTATTATATACCAGGCATTGATTGTATCTGGCACTGAGGACAGCAGTGGACAAGACAACATGAATTTGCCATGGATCCTCAACTGTAGTTAACAAATAGTACTTCATACAAATTTTTTTCAAAGATTTATTTATTTACGCATGCAAGAACTGGAGTACAGGCCAGAGGTGCGGGGGTGAGAGGATTCACCAGAAACAGAGCGGGGAACAGAACAGGCAGACTGAAATACATTGCTGAGGGGAGCAGCAGGTGAGACAGGAGAGGTCTGCTGTGCCATGTGGATTGCTCCCTGGATGGCCGGATATTGAACTCATGCTATAGAAGCTGCAGATAGCTTCACAGTGCTGTGCTTAACCCCTTGCACCACCAGGGAGGCCCATACAAATTTAATAGGTTATTTTTCTAAATGTTTGCCTACTAAATCTGTATTTTACAGTGCCCTATATAAAAATAGAAGATATTTGCAGAAGACCAGGTGATAAAGCTTTGTAACTGACTTTAATAAAATATGAGCTCTTAAGGACTTTTAAAAAAGCTACAGCTGGAAGACAAGCATGTCTTTCACTCCTTCCTAAAGCCCATGCTAAGTAGTTATAAAGGAATTAAAGAGATCAAAAAGGATAAGTAAATCAGTGAAACAAAATAGAGTCCAGAAACAAACCCACATATATACCTGATTTAAAAAAATAAACAAGCAACACAGTTGTATACAATTGTATAGTACTATAGAGAGAGTGGTCTTTCAATAAATCAGCTGGACAAGTTAAATATCTATTTGGGAAAAGTATCTTGACTCAGCTTCATACCATACACAATAATCCAATCGAGATCAGTTGTAGCTCTAAATATGAAATGTCAAATAATAAGATTTTTAAAAGAAAGTATAGACCAACATCTTTGTGATCTTGGACAGGCAAAGATTTTTTTAAAACAGGCTATAAAAATACTCTAATCATACAGGAAAAATGGATAACTTGAATTATCTCAAGAACTTCTGTTACTCAAAAGATACAATTTCAAGAGAAAGAAAAGGAAAGCCACAGAGTAGGAGCAAACATTGTCACTTTTTCCTGTCCTGCCTATTATCCCTCCCCCCCTCCCCCGACAAAGTACTTATATCCAGCCAAATCTCTTGTAAATTAATAAGATGAATAATAGAAACATTGGCCAGAGATTTGAATAAGAAATTTGCAAGAGAATAGACACATGGCCAATAAGCATACAAGATGGTAGGCAGCTTGATTAGTATTGAGTAATAAATATTCAGACCACCACAGGGTACCACTGCATACCACCAGAATAGCTACCATGAAAAAGTCACAAGTACAAAGTGTTGGTGAAGAAATGGGGCAACTGGAGTTAGATTTGGCAGCATCTGCTAAAAAGATGAACATTCTCAATGACTAAGTGATTTTACTCTTTTATACATACCAAATAGAAATACAAATATATGTAAATCAAAAGACATGTACAAGAATGTTTGTAACAGTTGTATTCATAACAATTCAAACTGAAAACTTTGCAAAAGTCCACTACTGGTGTAAAGGGCAGGAATGGACACAGTGCAAGTTTTCTAGGATCCACAGACCGGGTAAAGGAGGAGTCAGAGTCCTCAGTGGTTTTTTGCAGGTCTTTTATTGGGATTTACCTGGTACACAGCAGGCAGGGGTGCTGGCAGGCCTCCCATCCCCCAGCAAGTCTTCATTCTATCTGGGCTCTCCGGCCTTTTTTGCTTCTCTCTCGGCTTCTCTTTTGGCCTGTCCTGCTTCTTTCTCAGCTTCTACTGGTGTCCCTGTGACGCCACCCTTAAAAAGCACAGTCTTAGCCCAGGTGAATCCCATCTACCTATGCCTACACCCTAGTCCAGGTGCCCGCCATCAGGCATGCATTCAGGACCTCAAGGATCCATCATCTATCCTGATGGCGGGAGGGCAGAAAAGCCTGACATTTTCTTCACTCTACAACTAGTCAATCAGATAACTGAATATGACTGTAAAAATTAGTTAACTACATCTGCATTATAACAATACAGATGAATTGTATAACTACTTTAGTTATCTATTGCCATGTATCAAATTACCACAACATTTAGGATTTTTAAAACAGCGTGTATTTATAATTTTATTCCCTGTAGTCATTTTCTGTGGACATAGCTTAGTTATGTCCTCTCCTTCAGTCACTCACAAGACTGCAATTAGGGTGTTGATAGTGGCCAGGTTCTCATCTGACAGCACAACTGAAGAAGGGTCTCCAGTTTACGGTTGTTGGCAGAACACTGTTGCTGAAGGCTGAAGGGTTGTTAGAATGAGGACATCAGTTGTTAGCTGGTTATGGCCGGTCCTTGCCATGTGAGCCTCTCCAACATAATTGCTTACTTCATCAAAGTAAGCAAAGTAAAAGAGCAATAGCTGAAGTTAGCCTTATATAATCTAATCCCAGAAGTGGCATCCTATTATCTTTACTATATTCTACTAGTTAAAGCAAATCACAGGTCCTGCCCATGCTTAAGGGGAGTAGATTACATACATTGTGAATACCAGGAGTTGGGAATCAACTTAGAGTCTCCTCATCATAATAATGGTTAGCAAAATAAAGTTCAAAAAGAGGCATATCCTAGAAATCAAAATAATGGTTATCCTCAAGGTGGTTAGTGACTAGAAAGAAACCCAAAGGAGCTTTTGGAGTTCTAGTAATGTTCTATTTCTAATGTGCAAAATCATCAAGCTGTAAACTCATGATTTGGGTCCTCTTCACTGGTTCAGATTTACTTTTGGTTAATGTTTTATTTTAAAGGCATGAAACCTCAAGGACAAAGAACAGGGGAAGAAACAATACCAGCTGAGAGACCTCAACAAGTTTTAGAAGTAGCTAAATGATAAATAAGTGAAATCCATCTTAGGAGAGAGGAAAAAACTGAAATCTAAGTCTGGTTAATGGAGAGAATGGAAATTGAGAACTAAGGAACTAAAAGTGTAAGCCACTTCATATTGCAGAAGCCCAGAAAGCCTCAGGAATTGGGGATACCAGCTATTTCTCAAGATAGGAATACAATATTTATACCCATTTATATTTTCCCAAATTCACCACACCTGTACTGACATGATTCTGGAGGGACCAGGCCAGAAAGACTCTGAATTTAGGAACTTAGGCTGGATTAAAATTAAATTGAAAACAGGGAGGTTAACTCAGAAGTCCACACACTGAAGGGTGAAATGTGCAATATCCCTTCCTTTTTCAGTTTCCAGAATGTTCTTGGCCAGGTATAAATGTCTCAGTTGAGAAATTAAGAGGATAATTCTCTGGAGCAACCTAAGAGAGCAGGCTCACAGAAACTAACATTTTTATAGATCCCCTGATGAAATTACCAGAAATTTGCCTAATTACCTGTAAGCCCATCAGTTAATGAGTTTTACCCATATACACACACAGCCTACAAATAGCATTCCAGTACTTCCCTCTTAAATATGAAGCCAAGGATTATCAGGTGTTTGAGGGAGGAGCAAAACAGGTAAACTGAAAAAGTAGGAAATAAAGGCAATGTGAATAGCAAAAAGAATTACAAAATGATAGTATTGTAAGAGCGAAGATACAAACATTAAAAGGAAATTGAAAAGAACAGAAAACAAGAAGTATTCTTAGAAATGATTAACCATGTTAAAAATAAAGTCCAAAGGATGTTTGGAAGATTGAGAAAATCTATCTCTGAAGAAGAATGAAAGGATGAAAATTGGGAGATAAAACTGAGAATTGGTCTGGATCGATATGAATCATTATCAATCCAGATAGAACAACAGAGTAAATAAAAGTGAGAAGATTGTCAAAGAAATCAGAATTTCCCAGAAGCACTTGAGTTTTTAGATTAGATAGGCCTACTAAGTACCTAGCAAAAGAGAATGGAAATAGACATGAAATTTCAGAATATCAAAGTTAAGAGAGGATTAGAAGTCTTCAGAGAGGGAGAGAAAAGAGCATATACAAAGGCTTGGTAATCAGAATCAGTCTTTACTGAAAACTAGAAGATAATGAATGGAGCAATGCCTTTGAAGTTCTGGAAGGAAAAATCATATTCTATAATCAAACAATGAAGTGTAAGATTAAAGACATTTATAAACACGGGGGTTTCTCTAAACTGTATTCATCTGATGTTGTCTTTCTTAAGAGACCTCTTACTGGAGAATATGTTCCATCAAAATAAGGTGATTTTCCAAGAAAGGAAGACAAAAGACCCAGGAAACAGGTGCAGGAATTTATTAGGGGCAAAGTGAAGGGAAGTTCCAGGATAGCAGGAAAGGATCTGGGGAAGATTTGAAGAGGATACAGAGTTTCAGGAAGGATATTGCCAGGAAAAAAATGCAAACACATGGCCCACTGTAAATTTTTTACTACTATATTATATATTTAAATGTATCCAGAAGAGATTAATGGTTCTATCTTCAAGGTTAGGGATAAATTAGAAATAAGTATAGAAAATTGAGTGAACAGTCTCAACAAAAATAAGGTGAATATTCTATCCAGGAAAAACAAAACGTACAAGAAATACAATACAATTACACTCAGTTATGAAAACATGATTAAATAATTACAATAAACTAAATATTAACATGATCAAAATTGTTCATATAACTATTGAAAAGATAGGCAGTAGTAGTAAGTCACTGTAGGAACATATCCCTTAGAACTGTTTGGACTTCTGCTAGTTGTGTATGAGAATCTGGAGGATTTGTTAAAGCACAGGTTACTGGACCCCACCCTCAGTCTGATTCAGTATGTCTGGGGTTGGTCCTAAGAATTTGCATTTATAACAAATTTCAGAGACTGCACTTTGAGAACCAGAGATAGAGAAAAGTGAAGAAAACTACCAGGGGAAAAAAATGGAAAGTTTTGTCTCTGTCTAGGGGAAATGGGAAGAAGTGGTACAAGTGACTGTTGCTTCATATATAAATCTCACTAGTACTTTTGTCATGTTGAACAATGCCATTTATAGCATATGTTTTGATATTCTTTAAAATTTTTATGAAATCAAAATAGATATTACATCCTTGCATCAACTGTACATACTCTTCACCTACTCCAGAGACCCTTGGGCTCTCATGCAGGGTCAATACACGTTTATTTTTTATTTGGCTCTAAGAAAGCAGATTAACTGCTCTAGGAACCTTGCCATCTGGGAACATAAAAAAGCACAGAGCAGCCCACTTCCCTTTGTGTTTCTCAAGTATGCTACTATCATGCTTAGCACAGTACTATTCCTGATATTTATAATAAAGGATATAGTCAAGTATCTTTTTCAACAACCCAATATTTGGTGGTATGTTTATTAAAGGATCTAGGTGAAGTTGATATCTTTAGATTTCATCTCAAAATGAATCAGTAATCAGTATCGGTTAGCTAGAAAATTTCTCATTGCTAAATTAAGTGTCATTTAGGCCTAAAACCTATTCTCTGTGTGACTCGTGTGGAGAAATGCATGCTGGTCCCATCCCAAATGGTTTCTTTGAACAACCAATTCTTTCTTCCTTTCAGCTCTGCTCCAATTTTGGCTGAAGAAGCCATCTTGAAGCAGAAGTGTTTACTGACAACTGAGCTCTAAGGGATTGTGTCCTCCCCATCTCTAACTGGAATGCCTCACACTCTCCAGCAGTCTACCTGGGAATCAATTTTCACTGGAATGTGTTGGATTCAGGAGCTAATTTGTCCTCTACTTGTGGGTAAAAGAGCTCACTTAGATTTGACATAAACGCCGTGAAAAAGCATACATTTTCTGTCCAACTGGAAGAATTTATATCATACTGCGTATTTGCCCAAATGCAGATATTTGGTCTCTCACGTTCAATAGTTTTATTAAGGTTGTAAATTTCTAAGATAGTGGAATTACTTTCTCTGTCTTGTGGTCCTTCAAACTCTTGGCTCCACCTAGTGGTTGTAATTGTTTTCAGTGCCTCATGGCAAGTTCATCTCTGGTAGTTAACAGCCTTTTGAATATTATTTCTCTCTAGTCTCAGGGTGAGTGTCCTTGATCTGAATGCCTGTTAGAAAAATTGTACTTTGCCATGCATTAATTGGAAATCATGAATTTAGGGAATTGGGGAATACTTAAGGGCTAGGTAACTTTTTATAGTTATTATAATACTAAAAGGAAGTTTAGAATACACAGTATTTTCAGGTGTCTCCCATACTTTTGACTTCTTACTGGACTGTTTAAATACTCAAGGTTTGCATCAAGGTAAGGTAAACCTTGGAACACAATAAAAATAAAACAGATAAACCTTGAGAAGAACCCCAGAGACAGCAATGGCCCATCATATTTTTTTCAGCCTTGTCTTCCCACACTATAACTTTTCAGCCTGCAAAGAATAGAGGGTGTTAAAGACACACTGGGCCCTTCAGGCATCCACATTACTTCCTGAGCCAGATGGGGAATACAAACCATTATCGGCTCAGGTAATGAAGGAGCAGCACAGCAGTTTCTGGGCTGTCGCTACTCCACATTGATACTTACTTAAACATAGGCCCTATTTCCTTTTACATAAACTGAATAAATGTGTAACTTGTAAACTTTGAAGATAGAAACCAAAGCAAAACAAAAATACCGAACAGATTTTGGGAATCGGGGGAGGGAAATTTTTTTTCTTGATACCCACCATGCCTGAAACTACACAGCATTGAAAGAACTCACATGTGGCATTACAATAGAAATTCTCTGTTTTAGAACAGTCTCTAGAATTTCTTCATCCCTTTTGATCTGTACCCCAAAAAAACTAGATGTTGAAATAGTAAGTACATGCTCATTATAGAAAATACAGAAAAGTATAAAAATAATTACCTGTAATCTCAGCTTCTAGAAAATTACTGTTTTAGGTTTAAAACTTTAGAATGCCTGAGGTAATGCTGCGGGGAATAAGGATCTAGAAACCATGTCGATAAAGTCATCCTTAATCCCTGTTATCAAGTACCCATGTTAAGTTATTCCGCCTGGAATTGTTTTTTGCTTTCCTCCTCTGTGATGTATGTATAATTGATTTAATTTATGCTGCTCAAAAAAAAAAAGAACATCTTTAAAACTCCATAGTTTGAGCTCTCCTGGGCTCCCTGTAGCATAATCATGTGCTCAGGCAAACACACACTAGTGTCTGACTGGAAAGCTCAGGAATTTTAATCTTGTGCTGTTTCCCAGGTAGCTGTAGAGATTGGAAACCACTTTTGCACAAAACACTTTTCCTGGAGCCAAGAAAGTTGGCTCTTTTTGCTGACTGCCTTCCCTTAACCATTATGTGAAGCTTGTGGATTTCATTGGAGAAACTCTTGTCAGTTCTTAATGGTAAAACAAATTTTCTTGCAGTTTTAAGTGATACCTAGAACTAAGGGCTTGACCCAAGACATGTTGGACTGAACAGCAAATTTTCAATGTACTCATAACCCTCGATGTACTGAGAGGTTAAAGTGCTTCTAATCACAGAGCAACTTGGATAGCTTAATTCCCCACCCAGTTTAGGAGTGGGAAATTATTTTAAATTTTGAATTTTCTGAGATTTAGGAATAAGTAGTTTAAAATACTCCATAACCTTTGTATTTTCGGGTACCTGTCTTCTTGCCAGTCAGAATATTGATAGGGACATTCTTAAAATTCATTTGAATCTGAAGTTAAAGGGACATTTGTCTCGTGTCCTGATGTGAAGTGGTAAATATGGAAATTAATGTTTTATTGATGAATTGGCCCTGTCAGATTAGATACCTGTCAAGTGTCAGTTTCCTATCACATCTGCTGCTGGGTGTCGTGCTCACAGCTGCTGTAACACTCGCCTTGTTCTGTTCATCTGAGAATGGAGGGGAGGTGAGGATAGGGCTGAGGAGAGCCTGTGAATGTGTCCATAGGGGAGGGGCTGTCTCTGTGAGGAGAGAAGCATGTGTGAATCAGTAGAGGTTGCCAGTGGAGATCTGAGGTAGTTCTGGATAAGAAGGCAGGCTGATTACTTGGAAGTAGGAGAGGCAGCTGTAGTGGTGCTACAGCCTGGTGACCTTCAGGGCAGAGTACCAGATTACAAAAGATTAAACTCTACCTGCACATCTGAATCATCTAATAAATAAAGGAAAACTGATCTTGAGATGAGATAAAATAGCCTGCTGGCTGTTCAAAATGACAGCTAGTTGGGCAGGAAGTTTTTTTCTGAATCAAGATGAGGTTCCCAGGCAATAGGACAATATAGCTTGAAGAAATACTGACAACATTTAATTAAGTCAGGAGTAATGAGATGTGTGAAAGAGAGCAAGAACAGTAGTTTATTTGAGCACTCCAGCTAGAAAGCTGGTACCGTGCTTTCCTTGGAAGGCAGCTTGAAGTTAATTTATAGCTGAGATAACAGACCGAATCAGCAAAAATAACAAAGTCTACTTTGGCCATAGGTTCAGCAACTCTGGTTACTTTCTTTCCAGATTTTCCAGGACCAGATTTTATTCTGGTAACTCATTAGAACACCAATGATAGAACTTATCACTAAGAGCAGATGTTAGGTGGGCACTTTTGTCCTCCTGCTGTTGCCTCTCTCGACTGTGAGGAGCACCAACACTCAAATACTACTTTCTGCTTTGCTGTGTGCTCGGCTCTGGGCGCCCCCAGCACGGTGCTCTGCTGTGGGCCATCTGCTGCCAGCCTTGGGAGAGCAGAGAGGAATCCCAGGTGGGTCCATTGTACAGCCTTGCAAGGGGATGGGAGAGTTGGCATGGTGATTTAAAATATGCTATGTACGTTTCAGGTAACTGCCCTAGACTCTTCCCCAGAAGTTGTAAAATACTACATGAGATCTTCATTTTTATTAGTAGTATTACCTTTGCATGCACAGGAAGGGCTCATTGTTCTTTCCTTCTCATCCTTTAGGAAACACTGCTGAATAAAGAAATAATTAGGTTCCCTTGGTCTTCTAGGCGGACCCAGAAGCTTTCATAACACTTTTAGGTTGTTTTAAGAGAAATTCTCTTGTTTACTATTTCTTATTGTCTACTAACTTCTCATCTCCTTTATCTGATTTACACAATCACAGATGTTTTGTGGACAGTTCACGCTGCATGCCCTCATTCATTGCCTTCATGACTGGTTCTCTTACGCTTCTCATCTAGGTAAGCCTCACATGAGAGCTCAGCTGTCACATTAGTTAGAGCAGAATTATGTAGCAGCCACTTACACTGAGAAAGTCTTTCATGTATTTCTAAAGTAAGGGTTTTGAAAAGCAGATTTCGTATTTAGGTCAGGGGGCAGAAAACTTCGTATGCAAACAGCAGAGCTAGTACTTGGCTCCTCTGCTCTTGGGGTGTGCCAGCAGCTTAGACAAAGTAAATGTACAAGCAAGGCTGTGTTTTAGTAATTTATTTACAAAAACATGTGCTGGCTCCCAATTTCAAACTGTGTAGAGTAGTAGAGGTGTTCCCCCAGGACGGAGACAGGTAGGCAATAGGTTCTTCAATGTCCTCTCACTTGGAGGCACCTGACATTTCTAAATATTGGCACCTTGTTCACATCTGGACAAAATGCAGTTGTGAGCCTCCCAGCTCTCAGTCTGTGTGTGGTCTCACCAGTTTCTGATTAATCTTGTCCTTGGTCTTTCAGTTACTTAGAAACATGGAACCCTTTGCAAACTGAAGCATGTACATTGCTCTTTTTCTTCCTTTCAAAAATTTAAGCACTCTAGGTCTTGAATGATAAAAGAAAATGGGAAGCTTTTCCTGTTAGCACATGAGATGAAGAAGTTTGTTTGGACTATAGATACTGCCCTAAGCCTAACTGCTGTATTAAAATATTGGTAGAACTGTGATTGTTTCCAGTTCTAAGAGATAGGATTGTAAGTCTCTTCATCACCTTGCTTGAGACAAATGATTCTGTCACTTCTCAGGATTTCTCTTTATCAGAGAGGTTTTAGCACAGCTCCCTTGCTCTTTTTATCTTCACATCTGGAACTAATACTTATGAGGACCTCACTGTTTTGTGTTTACTTTTTATACATGTAAAGAAAGCTTTGCTGTAGCTTTTAAAGTGTAATTTATTTTTATATTGAGTGCACTATTCATTCACTGTGTTCCACAGTTTTATATGACTTGTATTAGAAGCACTGCACTAAACTGAGTTGTTTGTACACTGAAATGACAACTGTAGATATGACCACAAATAAAGCTTTTGTGAAACACTTACAGTTTTATGAACTGTTTGTTTCTTGGAGGTGTAATACCTATTTGCTGGCCTTCTCTCCTCAAAAGATTTTAGTCCAGAGTCGCTGTGAATGAGAGTGTGAACAAAAGCAGCACCAGTTTTTTCCCCAGTGTTCATTCATTGTGTATGGTGTAAATTTGGGAGTAGAACATTGTCAAATTTTAAAAACCTCATTGGTTATACTCAGGATGTCCCTAGATGCACAAGTCATCAGGAGCAGCCCAGTACAGTAAAACACAACTCTCCTGCTAATTATTTGTGAGACCTGGAAGAAATCATTTAACAAAGCTAAGCCTCAGTCCCTCTGTCAGAAATGACCCATTCGGCATGTGGTGTAGTGTCTGGTAGAGGGTGGTAGGTACAGCCATCTCTTTCCCTCTGCCCCCACTTCTCACCATCCCAGTGGAGAACATTGTTGCCGAGTTGTTTCCAGACTGGGCAGCCGTACAGCAACATGGGATTATAAGCAAGGCTTTGGAGGACACTTCCCTCCTCCCGCCCTCTTCCCTCTCCTGTCTCTAAGGCAACTTGGGTCTTCGCAGCCAAGGAGCAGTTCTCATGCTCTTTGAAGATGTGTAGGGAAAGGCAGGGCCCTGGGCGTAGCTACATTTGTGCTCGAATCTCTTCTCAAAAGGGTTTTATGGCAATAAGCACCTGAAGTCATGCTAAGCCCAAATAGAAAGCCTCATGGGAAGGTTACAGGGATCTCGCTGCACCAGTGGGAAGATGGGCAGAGTGCGGGGAAGGAAGCACAGACTCCATTTGACAGAGCCACCTGGCCCTTCCCCGTTGCTCACATTTCAGGCAGAGAACTCTGATTCGCTGCCTTGAATTATAGGCCCACCGCTTGGCCTCGGAGGGCAGGGCACCTAGCAGAGGGAAGGGGCTACCAAAACGGTAGCCCAGCATGCCAGACTGAAAGGACTTTCATGGTCAGCACTAAGCGATGGCAGCAAAGCCCAAGAGGGAGAGACTGCAGGGCTCACGTCACCAAGGCCCAAGGAAAGAACTCAACTTTGGTTTGGTGGCAGTGAGGTGGCTCAGGGCCATCTGCATCTGGCCCCACCCATGCCCCAGCGGATCCTCAACCAACTGTGCTTGGATTCCAAGACTCCACTCTTGAGAGATGTAGTGGAGCACAGAGCAGCACTCTCCAAATTAGTGCTGCCCACTCGTGTCCTCTGGGGCACTCCAGAATCTTCCCAGCCCTCCAGAATCTTCTTTTACAGGTCAAAGCACCATGCAAAGATAGGCGCCTCTTGACCTCTCAAGCTAGGAAATCAGGATGTTAGGGATTTTCAATAGAGATGTTAGAATTTTCTGGCCCAATTTCTCAATTTCTAGATTGGGAAACAGGTCAGCGAGGCACAGGAACTTGCCCTGGGTCATCAGGCTAAGGACAGGAATTTAGGTGTTGGCTTCCATTACACTGTTTCACTATTCTTTAGTCTGTTTTCTTCAGTGTTGCTTGCCTTAACTCCCGAAGTAAGTGTTCGCACAAAGAGCAGTCTCACATCTTACACTGCATTCCTAAAGCCCTTCCACTCCAAGGGCAGAGTTTTCACATGAGAATTGTATCCATTTCAAATGTCCATGACTCAGCAAAGCTTCATACAGCCCCAGCTGGATGTGGAGGGACCCATAAATGTCTAACGCTCTCAGGGCTCCTGAGGTTCTGAACAGCCTCTTCCCAGGTTACAGCCAGTATCCCTACTTTAGAGTCATCTCCACATTCAACACATGCTCCCTGACCCCATTTGTCTCATCCCTTCAGGAGCTCTGCGTGCCACGGAGCTGGAGAACTAGGGCTGTTCATGAGCTGGGAGTTCACACACAACTCCCAGGAAGCTTCATATGCTTTACCATTGTTTTATTTATTTATTTTTTTTTTAAACAAGATCCTGAAAAGGAAAAACCAAAGTAAGAGCTACTACAAAAATACACAAGTTCGCAAAAACTTCTCTGAAATTAGAAAAAAAGAATTGAAGATACATAGTGAGGAAATCTATGAACCTGAGAAAATGGATTACAGAGACTAACAACAAGGTTGGTTTAGACCTTATTCTAGTAAAATTAATAAATTTAAAAGGAAAACTACACAGGGCATCCAGGCCAAAAAAAAAAAAAAAATGTCTTTCTAGGATACAGGACTTGGACAGCAACATTTTATACCATAAGAAAAAGGAACAGCATGTTTAAGAGATTCAAGGAAATAAGACGTGAGCCAAGGATTTTAGGTCTAGTCAAGCTGACTTCCATGTAAAAAGGCCAGAGATCAACTTAATCATGTACCATCAGTCATGAGGCAGAGATGCACATGGAGCTGTTAAATAAGATGTGCATGCAAGGAACACAAAAATCTTAGAACTGATTTACAAACCAATCATCTTGGTGGCAACCCCCACACCACCCTTTAGACACCCTTTAGACCCCTTTGATACTTTGGTACCACCCTTTAGACCCCTTTGGTACTTTCTGCCTTTCTTCTCCCTCTTAACCTCAGAAACATCATTTATTAGTGTCCAGTGGTTTTTATAAATACTTGGTTTTGTTAAATGTAAAGTCCAATATTTGTCATTCTGACTTGCTTTACTATACATAATTTCCTCAAACTCCTTCCAATCTGCTGTAAATGGTGACATTCATTTTTCTTTATATTTGAATAATATTCCATTGTGTGGATAGACCACGTTTTCTTGATTCTGTCCTTTATTAATGGGTGCTAAGGTGGTGTCGATGTCCTAGCTTTTGTAAACAATGCTTCAGTAGATGCTGTAGAGTGTATAGTCTTTGGGTTAGATGCCCAACAGTGGAACTGCTGGATCACAGACTTTCTGTTTTCAGTTTTTTAAAGTATATCCAGACCCTTTTTCCAAAATGGTTGCACCAGTTTAAATTTCCACCAACATTGTAATAGGATTCCTTTTTGCATCCTCTCCAGCACTTGTTGGGGGCTTATTAATATGTGCCACTCTCACTGGTGTGAGATGCTATCTCGTCGTGCTTTTGACCTGAATCTCCCTTATTGTTTTTTTGTTTTTTTTTTTTTAAGATTTATTTATTTAAGAACCGGGATACAGGCCAGATGTGCGGGAGGGTGAGAGGATTCACCAGAGACAGAGCGGGGAACAGAACAGGCAGACTGACGAAATACACTGCAGAGGGGAGCAGCGGGCAAGGCAGGAGAGGTCTGCCACACCATGTGGGATTCTCACCAGCCGGCCGGGATCGAACCCACACTGCAGAGGCTGCAGACAGCTTCACGGCGCGGCACTTAACCGCCTGTGCCACCAGGGGAGGCCCTGAATCTCCCTTATTGAGAGCAATAGTGAACAACATTTTTTCATGTACCTGTTGGCTCTCTAGACATTCTCTTTGGTGACTTGTCCACATCTGCTCTCCCTTTATTAATTGGTTTTTTTATTGTTAGAGTATATAAGTTTTTTTATATGTTGAATATTAACCCTTTGTTGATTGTGTAATCTCCTATCTAGTAGGATGTCCTTTTAATCAACTTACATTCTTTCACTATGAATGTAAATTTTTAATTTGCAATAATCCCAATTGTTTATTTTTGTTTTTACTTTCCTTGCTGTAGGAGTTAAGTCTCTAAAAACATCATTGTCATGGCTGTCATGAAACATAGTGCAATATTTTTTTCTATCTATTGTTGCAGGTCATATCTTAAGTCTTTAATCCATTTTGAATTTATTTTTTGCTTGGAGTTAGAAAGTGATCGAACTTCATTCTTTCACGTGTGGCCATTACCAGTTTTCTCAGCACCATTTGTTAAGAGACTCCTTTCCCCATGCATTATCATGAATTAAGTAATGATAGATGCGTGGGTATATTTCTGGACTTCTGCTTTTGTTCTATTGATCCCTGTGTCTATTTTTATGCCAATTCCATGTAATTTTAACTACTGTTGCTTTTGGCATAGTTAGGTACCATGATCCCTCCATTTCTCTCCTTCTTTTCAGGTTCACTTTTGCTATTTCAGCCCCTTTATGGTTCCACATGGATTTTAATATTTTTGTTTAGAAAATGTGCATTAGGGATTTTGACCAGTAGTGTTCTTGTGCTGTCTTTGTCTGGTTTTGGTATTAGGGTAATTTTGCCATAGTAAAATGTGCTAGGCAGCATTCCCTCTTCTTGGATTTTTAGAAATATTTGAGCAAGATAAGGGAAAATCCTTTTTTAAAAATTTGGTAGAATTCAGTTGTAAAGCCATCTGCCCCTGTGCTTTTCTTTTTTGGAGAGCTTTTGATTGCTATTCAGATTTCCATGGTTGTGATTAGTTTAATCAGCTCTTCTGGTTTCATCTGGATAAGCTATACTGCTCTTGGAATTTGTCCATTTCTTCAAGGTTATCAAATTTATTGGCATATAGTTATTCATTGTAATCTCATGATCCTTTGTATTTCTGTGCCATTTATGGTAATTTCTACTCTTTCGCTTTTAATTCTTATTAACGTTTTCTCCTTTTTTTTTTAAGTCTACTTAGAGGTTTATTAATTTTATGTTCTCAAAGAACCAACTGTCAGTTTCAAGTCTTTTCTCTGTTTCATTTATTTTGCTCAGCTTTTTTTTTTTTTATTTCCTTCCTTTTATTAACTTTAGGTCTTGTTTGCTCCTCTTTTTCAATTCTCTGTAAGTGAAATGTTAAATTGATTATTTGGGATTTTTCTTGCTCTTTATTTTTTTTAAAAAAGAATTATTCTTTTAATGTAATTTTTTTCTTTTTTTTATGTAGACGAACTGGGATGTAGACCAGAGGTACCAGGGTTGGGGGGGAGTAGGAGGGGGGTGAAAGGACACACCAGAGACAAAGGAGGGAGCAGAACAGGCAGATCTACTGAAACACACTACTAGTGGGAGCAGTGGGCGAGACAGGAGAGGTCTGCTGCGCCATGTGGGTAGCTCCACGGCCAGGGATGGAACTTAGGCCCCCATGGTGGGAGTGGGCCTATTGCCTTGGTAGTGCTGAGACTTAATCCCTAGGCCGCCAGAGAGACC